ATGAGGCGGCAGTTCAGAAACGGGTCTGGAAACTCCCAGAAGCTAGACGATCTTCTGGCACCGGTTGCCAGTTGGCACCAGCTCACGCTCAGGGCAAGTCATACTGTACTACCTATGTAGCACAGCAATGTTGTGCACCAACGCACAGCATTGCACCAATGTGCACTACCGTGACGGTATCAGGTTAAATAATTAGCTAGGTAGATTCACACACCTGCAGACGGTCACGGTCCGGTCACGGCTGGCAGGTGACCTCCGGTCCCATGCATGGCATGTGGCCGACATGTACCGCGGTACCACGATTTTAATAGGTACGACGTCCCACCATGCATGGCTCAATTGCTGTGTGAGTTGCTGTGCACGTTGCTGTCACTATGTCACTTCCTCCTAAAGTGACACTTCCTCCTGTCACTGCCGTTGCTGTGCACGTTGCTGTAAGTTTCTCGGAGGCCCATGTCGGGAAGACAGCATCGAAGAGTCTATATCACCGCTTTGAAAGCGTGTACTCCATGCATATACATAACATGAACATTGCACCTTATCCGAATTCAAGACGGCGTGCCTCAGAGTCCCGGCGCTTTATTTGGAACGATCAAATAGTGCAAGACTACTATTTGACCAGTAGTCTTGCACTGAAATAGCCAACTTTTAGACATGGTCCTATGTAGCCTCTTCAAAGCAATATCAAACTCCAATGGAAATGGCTAGCATCCGTACAAAAAATTATCAGCATTGACAGATTGACAATATGCTACTTTGAACCTGGTCGACCTGGAAATCACTATTATTAGACTTCCCCTTAAAGGGGAGTCTGATTGGGATCCAAAGCATGACGGACACTGTGCTATTCACATCGGAAGCAATTTTCGTAGATCGATGGAGATCTAATCAAGTCACACGAGCATAGTAGCCTTGCACATGGTACATACTATGCATCTTCATGTCGTACTGGTGGTTGGAGGCAAATTTGCACCGGGGCCAACTTTCTCAAATTCAATTGAGAAAGTTCGACTGCATTGTTTTTGCACTAGCCAAACCAAAGCCACGATCATGTTAAAAGGCTGTTAATGGCATACTACTCCAGCTTGTTTAGAGTTTTGGACTTGACGAATCATGTCATCTGTGCATTTCGCCTACATTACGAGTTTCAATTTCCCGCGTACGACCATTCAGTACACTTCAACAGGTCATTTGTCCAGTTATGTATGAGTCAACTGCATGCGGTGCATGAGAATCTACATGTGACAATGTACGCATTGGGTATATCGCAGACATATCAGACTGATTCCCAAGACAACAACGCAGCATACGTTGTCTTGGCTTGGCCGGAGGTGATTCAACGTTGATTATGTAGATATCCATCATCGTTTTCAGACAATCGATATCCTTGGCGCCAGGAATAAGTACCAAATACGTCCCTTCAACAAACGGTTATGTTACATCACTGGAGCAATTCCTAATGATGTTTGCCATGCCTGTAGATTGGCCTGAGAACTTGGGAACGAGATTTGCTTGGACGGAAGCGGCACCTGAACCAACGTTGGCAGTAGGCGTGGCACAACATGAGTTTGTAATATGCATGATGCAAATGAGCCCCAAGTGCTCGACATGACAACAAGCTTCCCATTATTCAAGTGAAATCCATGGCCATCGTCTCAAGTTGATTCAGGGCACCAAAGCGCAATATCACTGAGGGAGGAAGGATCATTTATAACTTTCAAAGAAACTCAAAAGGGGCATTTGTGACTACTGGAACGTGCCCACGTTCCTTATGGTCCTCGCCGGCGGTCATTACCCGCCATGTGTGTACAATCTCGTCCAACGGAGAAGGACCCCGCCACTCTCTCGCACCAGCCTCCTTGCGCCTCGCCTATATCCACCGCCTTCTTTTCGGGGCCCCGTCGTCGTCCTTCCTGCTGGGCGCGTCCCCTCCATTCCGACCAGTCTTCCTGGACAAGGAATCATGCGCCGGGGCGCGCACATCGCAGTGCCGGGCTTTCCCGTCCCTGCCAAGGGCCGAGCCTTCCTCCCGCCAGGCATCTCTAGCCGTCAGCTCGAGTGAGGGCCCCGAGTGCTGCACGGCAGCCGCGCTTTCGTCCCTGACGCGGGGTCCGCCTGACGAGGAGTCGGCCTCGGTCCCCCCCAGCGAGGCCTGGCAGGCGCTGGCAGGTTCGCTCAACGGTGCGGCGTCGCACGCATCCCGGGGCGTACATTTGAGGGGCTGCGCAGGAGGGGGCGCGTGCGGAAGGGCCGGCCCGCACGGGGGCAGGGACAGCTCCTGGGGAGAGGGCCAGAATGTAACTTAGAGAGAGACTCACTTGCTATCGGATGCGGGGCAAGTCCGTGGGAGACGCGGGCAGGCGGGTAGGCGCAGGCCAGGACTGCGGCTCTCGAAAGATTGCCTTCCCGTTCAAAGAGACCGCACCTTGTCCGTTCAACGCCATCACCAGAGTCCACTAGGAGCCTCTGCGATACCGCTCGGCAGAAGAGGCGCAAGGTCGGGCGGACGCACGTCTCCCCCCGCCTCACCTGCTGCCACAGCCGGTCGAGTTCGGCGGCCTTGTTGCAGCCCGCTCCCGGCGTCGCCGTCCCCAGCACCCCTGGCTCCCCGGTCCACGCCAGCTCCAGCAGGGCCTCCGCTTGCTGCAGCTCCTCGCGCAGCGCCGCCACCTGGCAGCAGAAGAAAGCACCACGTGGCCAATCAATTTTCGAGCGCCCTTCACCTGCTCGCGTGTCACTCTGACAGTTCGCCTGGGGGCACGTGCGCGACCAGGCGGGGCTTCCCCTGGAGCAAATATTTGCGCTCTCGACGCTTTCGCTGTCTTTTACTGACGGGGCACAGCTGTTTCTGCTGTGTCCCGGCCTGCCGCAGCTGTGCGGTGCGTACCTGCTGGCGGTGCCGCGTCAGCTCCGCGTCTTTTGCGGCCACCACGACGGCGTGGCTCCGCCGCAGCTGCCCGATGGCGCAGTCGCGCACCGCCACCTCGCCCGCCAGCCCGCGCGCCTCCGCCGCCAGCCGCACCTGCACACCAACCCACCACTACCGTCACAAAAATTCCTACGCTTGAGACCCGAAAATTACACACGGTCTCTGCCAGTCTTCTCGGCTGAGTTCTTTTCCAGTCGGACCTCCTCGATGTTGAAGGCCTCGACGGCAGACACGCATGTATCGCACGAACGTCTTGACTGCACTGATCCCCTTGCGGTCTCTGCCGTGTGCTCACCTGCGCGCTCGCGTCCTCGTCTCGGACGGCCGCCAGCTGCGCCTGCAACGCTGCAAGCTGCGCCTCCATGCCCGTCGCCTGCCATCGCAACGCCAACACAGTCAGTGGGGGACCACGCCCGCAGCAGAGGAATACAAGCAAGGTGCTGCCCACGAGGATCAAAGCCAAGGCGGGGCCTGTGACCCTCTCGAAAAAGCAAGAGGGCTGGGCGGCTGCACCCCGGACCCCTACGAGACACAGAAGTGGTTCACGTTTGCCTTTCGCGACTGCCAGCAAAGTTTAGGTATCTCTCACGAGCGCGACGACTACAACCGGCCGCTCGATGCCATCTCGGATCGCCCTACAACGGCCTGTAATCTCACGGGCGCGGACTGCGATTGCCCGCTCATATCGGGCCTGGCTCCTTGCGGTGCGCGTGCCTCCCACCTTGGCTGCGGCGTGCTCCAGCTCCGCCATCAGCTGCGCCGCTGCCCCGCCGTGGCCGCTCGCGTCCTGCCTGGCCATGTGCTCCACCGCGCGCCGCACCGCGGCCGCCACCCCGCCCGGCAGCGCCGCCTCCGCGTCTCCCGCGTGCCGGCCGTGCGGGGTGGTCCCCCCGGTCCACCGGCTCCAGGCGCTGCCGGCCGGGGAGGGGAGGCCGTCCGCGGAGCGCGAGAGGGGCGGGACGCGCAGGCCGGGGCTGCAGGAGCCCAGGGAAGCGCGGAGAGCGGCGCCGCGGGGAGCTGCACAACGAAGGGACGGGCGACTCGGTGAGCAGGAGAAGTGCAACGGCCCTCCGAGCCTGGCCAAAGACGAAATGAGGGGAAAATGGTCGCTGCAACAAACGATATCTTACTCTGACCTTCTTCGTAGTAGGAGAAGCCGTCGATGATCCATGGGACGACGTGAATCGGCACCGCATCATGATGTATTAGAGTCTTGGAGCAGATGAGATGCAGCAGATGGGAGCACGTGGTCCTGCTTCATTGCGCAGGACTTGGACAAAGCTGCCGCGCCCTCTTGTCTGTTGTGACTCTTGAGCCTTTGGACCATGTGCGGCAAAGGAAAGGCAGCGGCTCACGGTGCCGGCTGTGCGAGGGGCTGGCGTTCTCTTGCTCCCCTGGCAGCTGCCTGCCCCACGTCTTGGCGGCCGCTCCACCTCCTGCAGCCGACGCCTTGAGCGCCGCCAACGCAGCCGGGCCCAGGGAGTGCCACGTGGCAGAGACTGCCTGCTGGAGTGACACGAGGCGCGTGGTGGCGCCCTCCACTGCCGTCTGCAGAGCAGCGCCCGCTGCACAAGGGAAGGCCGAGGTGTGACGATCAATGCTTGCTCTGCGAGCTCAGTCTGATGTAAGGCATAAAGAGAAAGTTCACATGACTGCAGGGAAGACGTCCAGCATCACGGACTCCACTTGGGACCTACCCTTTCTCCTTTCGTGTTGTCATCACCGCCAGAACCTGGTTCTCGCAAAGCTCCGAACTCGAAGTTGTGCCCTTGGGGTAGCTCATGTGGTGCCACACAGTCCTTTTTGCCAGCAGCTCAACTGACGTTAAAGGCACAGGCAGAGTGATTGGAGCGGGGCCGTGTGCCCCCACCTGCTGACGGCTGGGTTGCCGCATCCGCCAGGTCAGTCGCCGCCCCCTCGGCCGGCCTTGCTGGCTCCGCCCTCTCGAGCTCCTCCGCCTGGCAGACAGACGCGCAGTAAGAAAAGACTTCGCAGGCAGATGATGTCGAGGGCCAGCCTGGAGCGCACACAGGGACATCTGCGCACGTTCGTTCCACGTGGCTCGGCCAAGAACGCCCAACGGGTTGATCTAAGAACTGTCCGGATATGCAAAGAGTGTGTTGCTGTGGCACAGGGTCATTCAGAGGCGGCCTGCAGCGAGGACAGGCGGCGGCTCACCTTCCTGACGACCACCACGAGAGCGGCCAGCACCGCGGCCGCCTCCCGGGTCAAGACCGCCAACGCCGCATCCTGCGTCATACACACGCCGCATGAAGTTGGCCCAAGTACAACACGGCAGGGGAAACCGACAAGACCCATGCAAATTATACGTGAGCTGCCCTCGAGGCGGACGGTATGAAAACGACACCTCCTCCGGAAGATGGTGGTGTGCCTTAGCAAAGGAGAAGGAAGCTCTGAACTGCTGGTTGAGACTTGTTAGTAACTCGTACAGTGGAATTATAGGAACAGCAAGAGATTGAGTGCTGCGTTCGTAGGGGCTGACCTTGGCTCGTGCGATGGCGGCGGCGCACCTGGCCGCCATGTCTGCTTGATTGCCGCAGTCGGAGTCAAACGAGGCGCGCAGGTGCACCAGGTTGGGGTCCACCGCAGAGAGGCCCCCTGCCGGGAAAGCAGCGCTGGCCTGCATACAAAAAGGTGATTTCTAGAGGACAGGCTTGGAAGCGCCTACAAATCGGGCATACCAGCAGAAGCACTCGCCTAGTCAGCTCGGGGCAGGGCTATCAAGTTTCGGCTTGGCCAAAAATAGCCAAAAGTGCGGCAAGAATGACGATGCACTGGACGCTCTACTTTGGAGAATTCAAGAGGGGAGCATCGAGGAGAGGGCCCCCTGCTCCTGCCTACTCACCCTCGCGTCTCTGCCCGGGCTTGCTGCCGCTCCCTCCTGGAACAGCCGCCCCGCCCCTCGCTGCCTCGCCCCCGTGACGGACTCCACTGACTCTCTGAGCGCCTTGCCGCCCGAGAGGACCGCATGCGCTACCACTGACTCAAAGGATGCAGACAAATTGGTGGGCCCCGCCAGTGTCCGGGCCAAGTCGCGCATGCACCGCGCGTCTGCTGCGGACACGGTGCAGGCAGGCGGGGCAGTTTCGGCTGGGGGGGCGACGGCGGGCTGGAGGAGGGGTGCCGGGGATGCGCAGCGGAAGGGGAGGGGCGGGCTGGGGGAGAAGGTGGCGCACGAAATGCTGCCCAGGCTCAGCTGGGGGGGGCTTGCGGGGGGAGGGGGCTTGGGAGACGCCGCCTGAACAAATCAAAGAGGCCGTTTGAGAGTGATTGGCAAACAGGTGAAACGAGCAGGGTGCGCAGTACTGAGGAATCTCTTCCGCGAAATGTCGCTCTAAGCGACACTAGGAGGAGTACCAAACATTCTCCTGAACGATCTGGTTGAACATAGGAAACCCATGAGCCAAAAGTGCTGCTCTCAGGGGATGAGCCCGGGCAAATGATGCAGGGTGTTCTTGAATCAGCCCTGCTGTTCTGGACCAGTTGCTCCTTACCTGCGGCACTGGTGCAGCTGGGGTGGGGGGGGCAGCAGGGCCAGCCGGAGGGGACGTCTGCGTCCCGGCCTGCTCAGTGAGTGGTGCCATCTTGCGCGCCAGGGCCTCCCCCATCTGGCGGCGCAGCAGCGCCAGCGCATGGTCCTGCCATAGGCCACACAAGCGCAGTGTCAATGGAGCAAGCTCACATGGCAGTGTGAGCTGCAGCTGACTTCTGTTGAGGCAAATGGGATGGTAGTTGAACGCGCCTGTCCTGGCAGCACGAAAGCAGCATGCAGCGTGGTCTTACATGGAAAGCTTAGTAACCCGCCGGTTGCAGAAGTGTCTCACCCTGGCCTGCACGGCCCGCTTGAGGCGGCCCTTCTCGCGGCCATCTGCGCGCTGCAAGTTGGCCGCTGCTGCCGCCGCCACAGCCACAATGAGTACGCGCTGCAGAAGGAGAGAAGTCCCAAAATGGTCACAGAAGGGGCAGTGGAGGGGAAGCCGTGGTGGTCCTGCTTCGAACCCGAGACTTGAGCCTATGAACCAGAGATGCAGTCTATTTGGGCGTGTGCATTGGCGCCAAGCTGCTTGCAGGTAGTTTGCAATCATGGTACAACCCAGCAGACACAAGCTTAGAGACTTTGAGGAATTGACCGGCCTGGCAGACAACCGGATTAGGTAGCAGCGCCAGCCATGCGTCCACATGTCTACTAAGAGGCACTACGTACCTGCAGCGGTGCAAAGGTGTGCCAGGCCACCCTCTCCTCCGGCCCCAGCACTTTTCCCAGGCCCCCTATGTCCACAGCACCTACATCTCCTGCAAGCCCCCCCCCAAGAGTCAACTGCGCAGGTCCGCTGGACACTGTCTGAGGCTGGCTTCCAGGGGGTTTGGATTGCCTCCGGGCTGTGGGTTTCTTCACTTTCCTAGGTGTTGCAAAGGGGTTCTGATTGGCGCTTCTCCTCACGCTGTCCTGGCCGAAGAAGCCGTGGAGGGGGGGCAGCCCGGCATCCTGCTTTCCCCAGCCAGCTTCTACTGGCTGACCACACCCCAAGTCACCAAACATGTCTTCCGGCTCATCAAAACCTGTCATGCTGTTCTGCAGGCGTCCCCCCAAGGAGCGCCGCCTCTTCCTGAGCGCGCCCTGCCCCTGCTGCTCCAATGTCCCCAGCATTTCCTGCCCAAAACGCAGGCTGTTGCGGTTCCACTCATCGGCACAGGCAGCACCCTTGCCAGGCGTCAGCAGGCGCAGGTCGGCCATCTGCTCCATGAGCGTGCCCGGCCCCTGCGCAGCCCCATGCTCGCAGCGCTCCCCCCTGCTCGCCTTGCCTAGAGGGGGTTTCCTTGCGCTGTGCGCTGCTGAGGTGGCAGGCAGGCACGGCCGAGCGGGCGTAGGCCGCGCCTCCTCATGCGAGGCAAGCGACAGCCGGCGGGTGGTGAAAGCGGTGAACATGGTCAGGGACGACAGCAGAGGTGGCCTGACTGCATGGTGACTTGAGTACGGAAGAGAAGGCCAAGGGGAGATTGAGCACTCTGCAAGGAAGATCAACCGCCAGGTTGGCTCAATGAAGGTCCGTTCAGTCTGCCCTTGCTAATGAGCCACATGAGGAGATATACCCTTCTGATACAGATGTCCGCTTCGCCGTCAAATTGACCCGAGGATCACTTGGTTCAAAGCTGCAGCAATCTTATACACGTTGAGCGAGCAGGACGTCCATACGCCTGGCCGTGCTAGTCGGAAGCCTTCACGGGCATGCCGCTTCATTCCACCCCCATTGCTCGCACTGAGGTCTCCTCCCAGGACCCTCTTTCCGCCTTCCTTCGATTGCAGTCTTTCCCAGTCTCAGAGGCCAGGTCTCGACCTCGTGCAGTCCGCCCTGTCATGATTGTTGCAACTTGGAAGGCGGGCGAGGCAGGCGCATGGCCGCACTTTGCCAGTGCAAGGCCGAGCCTCAGCAGAGGAGAGGGCCTCATCAAAACAGGACTCAGGACTCGGGAGGGTGCGCGGGCTGATTGAATTTGACTTTCGAACACGCCGAATGCCCGTTGTCTACAAGCAGGCCGGGGCCCCGGTCAGAACAATCGAAACCGTCCAGTAGAGTTTGTAAAGGGCATCAGCCGTCGATGCGGCAACATGCTCAGTGGGAGCTAGACACATGCATATGGGATGGCTGCCAGCTGCGCCGCGCAGCTTACCAGATAGCATTACGGTAGGTAGTGTTACTACCGTAATACTGTTCTCGACTTCAAGAGGCTGCAGATTCGATGGTGAAGCTGGACCACTGCAGTCTTCAGCGGATTGAGCTGAGCAGGTTCTGTAGCAAGTTCTGCTGAGCATCCCTCCCAGCATGGCTACGAGGCTGGCCGGGAGCTATCAGGTGCCCTGCGCCCCACCGCACACCGCCGCGCATGGCCTCCCCAGTCATGGTGATGCAATGGATGTCTTCGTGGCTTCCAAACAAAGCCGCCTGGACCAAGATGTTTGGTTCGGATGCCGGCTCACGTCAGGGCGGTTCCCAGTGCGGTCGTCGCGCCCGCCAGCTTGCACCCTGCCTGGCGCTAGCACCACATTGGGCGGAGGCAGTGCCGAATGCAGTTGCTCGGGGCAGGAGGAGCTGAGACATCTTCGATGGGGGCTCTTGCGGAAATTCGATGATAGCACCACCCTAAATAGGTCGCACATGTGGTTTTCAGACCGAGACGGCCCAATCTCAAGGCGTGGAAGTCAGAAAGGGCGTTTTCGGTCACGGCCGCTCCGTTCCGTTAGAGCCGAAGCCATATCCGCAGACGACGAGCGCCCGGGCAGCACTGAAAGTGAGGCGGTGGCCAGCACGAGTGGGCGGGCAGATTTGAGCACAGGTGCGCTGGGGGGGGATGGCGCCACGCTGCGCGACACGCGGGAGCTGGTCGAGGTGGCCATGCTGGCAGCCACCACAGGGCTGGCCTACGCTCTCTCCACCCTGCTGCGCCTCGAGGTATGGGTGCAGTGCGGCCCGCGGGAGCAGTGTCTGTTCCTACCACTTCCAGCAGGGCGCTGTGGTGCGGTCCCTCCGGCTGGAGACGTATGCTCTGCTTTACACTACTTGTGTTCCTCCTGACTGCTCGATCTGGGCAGATTCGCCCCCTCTCTGGCTCACCCAGTGCTCCGCCGCCGTGCCACGCAGGGCTACTTTGCGACCTTCTTCCCGCTGCCTCTGGTGGTGGCAGCCATCCGCGGCAACGTGCGCGCAGCCGTCAAGACCCTGGTGCGCCACTGCAAGCAATTTCAGCTATGCCTCTAATAGTTCTCTGGGAGCCATAGGGACTGACCATGCCTATCCCAGGGACAGGTGATCAGCACAGCCCCCCATGGCTGAGCATGTGTCGGGTGCGCTTACCGTGGGCATCCTGGCGCCTTGTCCCCCCCCCCCTAGCTGATGCCCATAGGGTGTGCCCGCAGGTGGCGACCACTCTGCTGCTGTTTGTCCTGACGGGCCCTCTGCGCGCCGTCCTCTATGTGGTGAGCCGCACAACAGGCAACCAGCGCCACTCGCAAACCACTCTGCTCTTAGCTGAAGATTCTAGGGCTTGTGTCCAGTGAAGGTCACAATCGCCTTGACAATCTGTGTACAAGCTAAGCAGTATTCACCACACAACGGTCTCCGCTCCTAGATAGCTCGTCTGCTCCTGTGCCTGCTTTCTTGACTGCCTCTGTGTGCGTTGCTACAGGTGTCGTATGGCTCGCTGGGCCTGGCGATGGGCGCCGGCTGGAGGTGCGTGCCACGGCCCCGCGTGTGATGTCACCCTGTCAACATGGGAACAGCGCTGGCTGGGCTTTACGTCCCATGATTGCACGGCTGGCGAAGTCGCGTGTCCTTTTGTAAACGTGCTCCTGGCCCAAGATTTGTTTATGTCTGATTTCCTGTGCTGGCTCAAGTCCTTCCCTCATCTTCGAGGTTTTCTAAGGGGGCGTTGGTGACTTCTCTCCGCTTCTTTGTGAACCCGCCCTGGCCCCCTTGATGCCTCCCCAGTAACTCCCACGCCCCCCCCCCTCATGCAGGCTGCGTGTGCGGTGGTTGCCGTCGGTGCTGCTGCTGGCGCTGGTGCGCGTGGCCAGCCTGCTGGCCTCCCTCGCGGTCTCCTCCTGGCTCCTCCGGGAAAACATCCCCCGCCTGGTGAGACACACCGCCACCAACGACACGTCTTTCACTTCCTTCATCAAAGGATTGTTGATAAAAGGTGGTGCATTCCCACTGCCAACCCCCCTGTTCCCTCCCCTTGCCTGGTTGCCTGTGGCTTGCCAAGCCCAGAGCCCCTGGCTGGCCCTGACCTCCTTTGACCTCTTGCCGTTTCAATTCACATCGAACTCCAGTTTTCTACTCCCGGAGGTCTCCTCGAAAGGTTTGAGTCTCTAATGATTACTGGAATTGCTACCCCATCAGGAAAGAATATCAGCGCAGGTACTAGGACGACAGAGCGTCTCCTTTCTGTAGAAAAAAGACTCGTTTGCGAGGCTATGCTGTCTTAATAGGTTGGAATCGTCCTCCCTGTGTCCATTTTGTCGTTCTAGCGGCTCACATACGCAAGTTTCCATTGGGCTAACCTCCCCAGATTGACAGCCTGGCCGCGTGCGTGCAGATCCTGACCCAATTCCACGCCAGCCTGACGGCCATGTTCCACACGGTGGGCCTCCCCTCCGGGCCCAGCATGCCCACCGTCTGCGGCATCGCCTCCGCAGCAGTAAGCATACCCGACTCCTTGCACACATCAGCGTACTCGCTTCTAGTTGGATATAGTTTGTGTGGACAGCGCTCGACCTATTGTGAGACGCAGCGATGAGGAAAGAGGCCGGATTCAGCGGCAGCCCGCCTGTGTCTAAATGCGGAGTCACAGTGACGGAGAGCCGTCTGCTGAACACTCCTTTCAATGTCGTCAGCACTTTATGTGCAGTCAAGCAGAACAATCTGGTGTTCCTGCCGACCTAGAGCGTCACGAGTTGTCACAACCTGAGTCGGCCTAAAGATGCTTTTGCGTTTTGAGCTTGGTGGCTACCCTCGCATTGCCTTTCCCCTCTCTTGGCCCCGCGCTCGTGCCTGCCCGTGCTGCTGCATGACTGCATGCGGTGCGCTGTGGTGCAGCTGCTGTTCAACAGCGCCAGCTACGTGTTTCTGCTCCACATCCTGTACACCATCCTGCTTAAGCGCCTCGGCCTACAAGTGGCCCCCGCCGCCCCCGCCTGGGTGGTCAAAGCGGGGGGAGGGCCTGCGAATAAGCGATGAGCTCCAAGCCGACAACGGCCTTCCGATATGGAGCAAGGTGACCTGACAAGCGTCTTGTACATAGCGATGGCAAGACGCTCTGGTTGGTCCGGGTTGGGGAGGCAAGGTACCCGGGTCAAGAGAAGCTCACTCACTGCACGAGGATTGGATAGATTGGACGGGGCATCGAAAAGTTTCCATCGCTTATAGCAGAGTGTACCCTCTTGCCCGAGACTTCTGGGTAGGACCATTTTGCTGGCATGCTCGAGCTGCGCGTTGTCACCATCAATGGCTAGGGTAAGGTCATTTGAAAGTGAACCCCCTATGTTCAGTCCAGAGCCCCTCGGGACCTAAACGGCCAAGCCCCCCCCTCCTCCGGCCAGCCTGCAGCTCAGGATAAGCGGAGCCCGCCTCCCCCTCCCGCTGCCCATGTCGTGGCAAACACCCAACCCCCCACCCTCTGAAGTGAACATAGGGGGTCAGCTTCAAAATGACCTCACCTTGCCGTGCATAGCTAGAAGACGATGCACTGCAAGGCAGAAGGCACAGTCAGTGAGTCAAGGCCGTACGTAGCGCAACGATACAGTATGACTTGGTCATGATTGCCTTGCACTCTGGATACCGAGGGAATGTCGGATCGATAAGTATCTATATTTGTTGGGCACCATGTTTGGCGCGTGCATGTTTGTTGACTGTTTGGCTAGCCCGAGGCCCGCTTGGGCCCGGCCAGGCGGGGTGGGCGGATGCGCGCGCTGGCCGCCAATATTCTTATGGATTATTTGAGCAAGCCGCTCATTACGTGCGTGCACTATGAGGGAGAGCTGGGGCCGCCGGCGGTATCCTGGAACCGTTTGAATTCTGCAGATCGAAGGGGGACGATCAATTAGCTATACTCCGGCTGATATAGGTAAGAAATTAACGGGATATAGGATGACCGGGCGCCGGCTTTTGCATTTTGCGGGAATCTTCGTAAGGACATTCTCGGCACCAGGGAGATTTTCTATCCGGCCGGGAAGCTGACGTCCGCCGGCCTAAAACTGTACGGCATGGCCGCGGCGGCCAAAGAAGTTTGACTGGAATAGGAAGGCCTTAAAGACTGGATTTCTGAGAACGCCACGTACTGCCTCAGTGGGGTGGTCCCGTCAGACTCGAACTACATCGACTTCTCGGTGAGTCTGGACTAAAAATAAAATTTGGTCGCGTTCTAGATGCAGGACATATGGGCGTAGGTCAGCAATTATAAAATAAGCTCGAGCGGCGTCCTCGAAATGGACGGAGGACAGTGAAAACCACATGCCCGCGATTTGGATAGAAGAGATTTTAACGCTCTGTTCAATGAGTCCGCGGTGCGGCCGCATCATAGCATGACATCCCGGTCATCCCAGCTGCAATGTGACGGTGCGGAAAGTTTAACCGAAAATTATCATGCCAGGTGATGACGTGACTGTAGTTCTATAGAGATTTTCTATAGAAATCTTGATGTACTTACTATTGAAGTAGTCCGGACCATAAATCGTATGACTGGTATATTATACACAGGTCAGATCCGCGGCATGTCACATATGCACAGCTAGCTATCCGGCCGCGAGAAGAGATTCCGAAGGAGGGGTAACCATATCTGGACGATTGACAGCTGTTGTCTCTATGGCTCTGAATTTGAGCTTTCACCTTTTCCAGGAGAGGGGAGCTGGATGGCGGCTAACAATCTGACGGCCTAAGACTAGAGAACTGAACATTAGCAGCAGTATAGCATGGAGGCTTCCGCCATCTGGTGGGCTGTCTCGCAGGCACCGCCTGGGAGCTCGTATGTGAGCTCACTGTATATATAGGTACACCCTACTTTGACGTGATCATGTGGCAAATGTGACCCTCCTTCTTTCACAAGGTCAGGCCATATGCATGCGCTTCCCAAAATACAAGCCGGCCTTTCAGCAACTCGGCGACGGGTTTTGCCGCCCAAGACTTATCAGGAGTTGGAAGACGCCGGCGCGTTGCTCTCATCGGCGGCACGTCGACATACCCTCACACTCGATGAACACGGGACGGCGTCTACGGCGCCGTTGGCGATCTCTGATACCGAATCCAACGCCTTGATAGCCTACAATTTTAGGAGACATCCCGATTGTGAGGCCCTGGACATTTCTAGCGGGCCGATCGTTAACCCGAAAAGATCACCTTAAAACTAGCTTGAGCATGAGTTTCGATTGTCCTGTCGCGGGCTTTCAGCCTTCGCTTCAGTTGCTCACACCAGAAGACTACGAACAAGGGGGAACAGTGTACTTTCAGTGCACTTCCACTCGGCTTTGCCGTTTCCTTCGATAAAACACAACTGCACTCAGTGGACGACCCTGACGGTGCCTCAAGCGATGTCAAGAACCTCAATTCTCCGAAGCGACAGCGCGAAGAGCACGTCTTGACAATAAAACTCAGGTGCACGCACCTGACGTTCCCAATTTGTGACCGCCACAGTCGTCCCCAAGAATACGGCCTGGCACAAGACGCCAAGGAGCTGGCCACCAACCAGGCCCTGCAGGATTAGCCATGAAGAGCCGCTTCGATACCAGTTCAGTTTCCGTTAGACCTTCTGCTGAGTTTTGGGTAGATCAAAGTGGCATTCCGAGCCATTCCCACTTGGGTTCCGGTTTGCCACTTTCGGAATTTGGATTAGCGTATACGTCCACGACACGTGGTTGACCAGCATCCGAACAGGGGTATGGACACACGTGGCCAGAATAGTCCATATGACTTTTTAATGTAAAGAATCACGCGTCTCAAAGCCCTCGTAAGTAGATGGATCAATTACCCAGACACCGAGGTTGAGTGGGAAGGCCAGAATTGCTGACGTAGGGAGTCCGATCAGGTAGTAGCTACAGAAGGTGCTGACCGCACCCAATGACTGCCTCCCGCATCCGCGAATAACGCCTGCAAGAAGCGGGAACTCTGTTTCACCGGTAGGGAAATGGGAACCCGAAAACGTGGAAGCTAAGCCCCTGCGGCAGAGTAAATAAAGCTCATTCACTGGCTGAATGCGCAAAATAAAGAGGTGCAGAGGAATCTGTAAACAACACGACAAACTTTTTAACGGGGTTCCGGAATATCACTGTTGATGCGTCGGAGGTGCACTACAATGATGCATGCACTTTGCTTGGGATCAGCAGACTTGAAGTGTTCATGTTCGCCGGTCCGCATCTCTATCCGCACAGATGAGCAGGTGCGCGCGCGTGCGCGCTCTCACCTCCCGCAGTCTGCGCGATGGCGTCCGCGAGCGCGACTGCTGCGACGAGCAGAATGAGGCGCGAGGACAGCCGCAGCAGGGGCCCGTCGGCGGCGGCCACGAAGATAAGCGGCACCCAGCGGTGGGTCGCCATCACCAGCGCGCACGTGACCGCGCCGAGCGCAGCGCCAATCTTGAGGCCGACGCGCGTGGCGCCGCGCGCGCGGGCAGTGTTTCCGGAGCCCAGCTCGCTTGCGACACGTGTGCTACGAGAAGGCGGAACGCGGCTTAGATGATCGCGCCTCTGCGGAAACCTTGCTTGGGAATGATGTTATGGCCTAGGTGCTCGCAAAAAAGGAGTCGTTGAAGAAGCGGTCCTGCTCGACTTGGATGATGGCTGCTTTTCGTGTCACCGGAGGCTTATAAGTCTCTCAGTCTCGAGGAGCCACAGTAATGGTTTTCCACGGGTGATAGGTACTCGTAAGGCTTGTAGCAGCATTCCAATTGGGCTACGCGCCATCATAAACATACTCCCCAGCCACGAAATAGGGAAGCTCCGAGTTCTGCGCATTGCATATGGTGAATCTGCACCAAGCTTATCGTCAATTACGCCCGTGCGCCTGGTTTAGTAGCTAAAGCTCGACCTAGAGCTCTTGAGGTCCAACCAGAGATAATGAGATAATGTGAAAGGAGAATTCAGGTTAAAGAAGAAAATTTCCTTCTTACCACAGAGCAGCACCCAAACCAACGAACGTCATCGACGGGAGCCACAACGTGTTCATGCTGCAAAAGGAAAGGAATACTTTCATGAAGCAGAATTAACAAGCCTCTAATTTGGCCTCTGAAAATGGCCAATTCGAGGGAGCCGAAAAACTTCTGATGTGGGAGATACTCCGTTAAGGCGGGACGCCTGATCACAGAGGTTCTGTACGGCCTTAAGGCTTACATGGTGGATCGTGCATTTCATTCGATCCTTCCCTTTCTTCAGCATTTGTGTTCCTATGCGCCCACCGGTTGAACAGTCACTCCCAGAATCTGTACAGTTTCAAGCAGCAGGCTCTGATGTAACGGAATGAGGTGTAAGGCAGTAGAAACTCACGCGACGGCTAGGGCGGACACGTGGACGTACGGATCGTCCAGCAGTCCGCACAGAATGTACAGTACGTCGAATGCCCAGTACTCAAAACTGCGCGACACATGGGGTGAGTTGGACAAGGTTGTTCGACCCTGGGCCGGAGCAAAAGAAACCAACAACCTGGACGTTTGAAAGGACACGTGTCGGGGCTTGCACTGGGGCCGCCGAATGAGACTAACGTGGAAAGTAAACAAACATGTTTACGAGCCCTATTACCAGCTCTATCTGACGTCCTAACCAGACGGGGACGTGCTCCGCGGTAACTCCGAAGATCGACCGCATACCAGATTGCAAACCACCAGAATCAGAATATGCTGGAGTCGGGAGTTGAAGATTGGCAGAGGAGATCCTGACACAGATCTGATGCCCGTGAGTTGCGCGCTGCGAACGTGGGTGACGCATAACGCGCATCAACAATTGTGACCGGCATTTGCCATCCGATTCCCTCTTCGGGACTCCCCTGCGATTCGAAGCGTGGCATCCGGATCGACTTCCTAAGTTTCTACATCCGCCCCCGCTGGTGTGATCACAGGGTTCTACGGCCAAGAGACTCTGTTGGACTCCTCACCAACGGCTTACCAGAGCATGATGGAGGACGGCAGCCCCAGCTTGACGAGGGGCCACAGGTGCCGGAACGTCTTTTTCATGGTAAATGTGGGTCGGAAGGCCCTGTACTGTTTGGATCCGTACACGTGGCCCGCCAACAGGACGAGCATCACGAAGTAGGAGACACTGGTGGCGAGAGCGGCGCCGTCCGACTTCCAGCCCAGGTAGTAAATGAAGAACCTGCGGACAGGATTGCTACACGTGTCAGACGAAGAGCCTGGCACGGGTCATCGGCACGGAGCCGGGACGTGGAGTCCTTTGGCACTGGAAGCTCTGAGCAGATCGTGCTTTTTGCACACAGACACAGGAGCTTTGTGCTCTTAACCATGGGCGGTAAAGTGCCCACCTTTTGTATACCAGACGTTAACCAAACCCGGGCCCTGGCTACTTGCGGGTTTATTTCCGATGAGATACTGAAATGAGTTAAGCCACTCGACTTGACAACGTAACCCGTAGTAGGTGGTTCGCTCTTTCAGAGTCCCGCCAAATTTACCACGCGGCACGCTTTCTTTTGTAACTTCTGTCTCCGCCATCACAGAGGTCAGCATCGAAGAGTGCTTGCGGTAAGAGCCTCCAAGAAAGAATGTGCAGACATGGCTTTGCGGCGAAGAAGAAGTATGGACGTACAGCCCTCTCTGGCAGACAACATCATAGCTTCCTACCTTGTGGGGCAACAGAGTGCCAACATGAAGCTGAGCGGGCAAAATGTCGCCAACTGAGTTTTCTTGCGGAACGGCGTCCCAGAGCGCTCGGCAAAACAAGTTTGACGGAGCGGGGACGGCGATGATCGGGCGAACCCACAACCCGTCATCAAATCTGGTGCCAAGCAACAAGAGTAGAAGAATCAGCAAGACTCCGGCCGAGCGAAGAAGAGAACTAGAAGGGGGCGGCTTCCGGAACGCACCAGGTGCAGGGCACGTGCACCAGGAGCGTGGCCCCAGAGGCCCACCCGAGCGCTCTCGTGGCGCCCTGCGACTGGAGGAACGTCACGAGCGGTGCGTACCACGCGTGTGCAAACAGGCTGGGGATGAGGAGAAGCATGTACCGGGCGGTCCGTACCGAGAGCTCCCTGTCCTGCCCGAGTAGTAACAGAATACCCGCGAACTGGCTCCAGACGGCGGCGATCAGTCCGGCGAGAACCGTGAGGAGCAGCGTGCAGCAGAGCGTCATGTGCGCAAGCTCTGCCAGCTGTCCTGCCCCCGCCGCACGGCCGCCCAGGGTTTCGAATCCGAGAGTGAGGCCAATCTGCAGTGTTTGGAGAGTTTTGAGTCCGTTAGCATAAAGGTAACGTCAAGAAACACTTGTTCGCAGGATCCAAGAACCGAGGGTGAGGCCGTTTCGCCAAGTTCGAAGCTGGTTTGATTCAGGGCATTCAGATTAAAGATTGTACTGATAAAAGGATGTGATGATGGCGGGGATTCTACGGCGCAACCTAGAAGCCACCAGGGTTTGGAGGCCGAAGGTGGGCCGACCTTTGTGGAGCTTAAGGTTCAGTATTGAAAGGGTCCGATCGTTCCTTCTTGAAGGAAAAAGTGACAGCGACTTGCGAATTTGACATACGGATTTAGACCTGAGACCGTCTGTTAGTGAAAAAGAAAGACGTTATGATTGGCGGGTGATGAAGAAGCCTTTGAAACCCTTTGGATACCTGAGGGGATGTCTTGGAGCCTGAAGAAAAGCAGGCTTACGGGCAGGTGCCCCAAGCGAGGAGCCACACAATCTCGGCCTTCAAGCAATAGCAGCATCAAAATGACAAAGAAGAAAGTGGGAACAGTGCTTCTCTTCTGACTCGCAACTGTTTCACGAGTCACAAGTCTGACCATGTAAAATGTCTCTGCGCAAAACTGATGATTAGAAAAAGGCGCTGGAAAACGCTTGACAACTCCCCTGCTGAGATTTTCAGCGCTGATTCGTGTTGCCGCTGGGTTTTTAGCAGCTTTGACGAAACCATGGACTCGCTCCCAAGGAGTTCCTTGAAGAATCAAGCTTATCTCAAGAGATGCAATCGACTTCAACAAATTGTTCTGTAAAATCCTTTAGAAGTCTTCTTTTGGTGTGAATTGAGGATTCCCCGCTCACCAGCAGCAGATGTCCGGTTGCGTTTGCCAGCGTCGTTGCCAGCTGGCAGCTTGCCAGCTCCACCCTTCCCAGGTGACCCACAAACGCCGCCGACGACAGCACCAGGAGCATTTGCACCAGGTTCATCCCCACGATTGGCGCCGCCAGGCTGACAAGTTCTAAACCCTCTCTGTGGACGGTCGGTCTACTCCCAGCCTCCTCATCTCCGTTAGTACTTTCTTGTAAGGAGTGATGGCTTTGGGTCTGGGAAGACTCAACGTTTGTAAAGGCAGTGTGCATGGGGTAGTTTGATGGTCCATCCCTGAACACCTCCTCTGTGGGGTTCCGGGTTTCCTGGTGATTACTGTGAGCGAATGGGGACACAACTGCTTCATGGCTCTCGTCCGCCTCAGGCTGCAGGTCTAAAGAGGAATCCATCAACGTCTCAATGTAGAAGGCAACAAAGTGGACCCGGCAGGCTTTATCTAGTAGCCAAGCGGGCTCCTAACAAGACCGCTTCTATGCTTTTTGAATACTTGCATACCTCACAGGTAAAGTCTGTTACATGCCACTTGGTATAACCTCCACTTGATCTTGTTGATTTTCGCTCTTGCGGGGATCTTACAGACGCTCCAAAGATGAGTTGACTCCACGGCTCAATATCAAGATCTGCTGAGAAAATTCGGATCCGCTTGTATATAAACGAGCAGATCGACCTCAGACAAGTTGACTTTGGTTCCAAGATACAGCTCTATTCAAGCAAACTGCCAGTTTTAGATTTAAAGGGAAGCTACTTAGATGACTTATAGGTTAGCCGAGTCTGTGGCCATGTGAACTTTCGAACTTAGACAACTAACTCTGACTACCATATATAGCCGGACTGTTTTGCAGGCGGCCATCGAGACTTGCTCACCTTCAAGTCCAACTCACTGTATAATGCGCGGTGCGTTTGTAGGCTGCTACACTTATGTACTACGGTACGTGACTTGTGTTCAAGGTGGTCTGCCATTACAGTGAGACTCGGAGACCCGCCCTTGAGGCACGACCTTTTCACACCACCCCGCTTTGCAATTAGTTTTTCCCTTTTTAAGTTTCACACAAACCGGCTAACCCCTAGTTATAGCCCCTGTTAGCGGCTAAAGCAAGCCTTAACCAGGCTCCTCAATCTTCCATGCCAACAAGTTCGCAAATTGTTCACACAGAGCCAAAAAAAATATTTTCGGTGTGAAAAGGTCGTGCCAACGTACTACGGTAGTTGTGCTACGTAGTACGCAGTACGTGCACGAACTTGGGTCGACGTCAGTGGCACGCAATCAGGAGACCAGCAACTTTCAGCAGCAACCGTGCATGACAGGCCGGTGAAAGCGCTTCACACAGAAATCTGACTGACAAAGGCCGGAAACGAGGGAAGGGACAGTCAAAAAGTCAAAAGGCAAGTCAACTTAAGATCCCGATTCCCGCAGTTGTGTCGCCTTCCGGCGCGGCAGCCAGCGCGGCACGATAGGCCGGTGGAAGCACTTCACAGGGGGAATTTGAGTCCTGACTCCTGACTGACAATTAGGTAATGGCCGGGCGGCGGGAACGGCCAGTCGAAACTTCAAAAGGTAAGTCAAAGATCCCGCACTTGACTCGCATCCGGCGAGGATCCGGCGCGGCACGCAAAGCCGGGTGGAAGCACGTCACAGTGCACACTGCACAGTGTGCACAGACTCACGCCACGTGCGAGTTTTTTTCTCTGACAGGTCGACCGGAGACAGTATTTTAGTGTAGTATGTACGTACCTCGTTCTAGGACCTACAGAGTACTCAGTACAGACTCCTACTACCGTACCTACCGTAGCTTGCATCACAGGGAGGGAAATCTGACTGACAATGGCCGGGAACAGCGTTCGACACGGAATTTGATTTCGTCGGCTCCCAGGCCGACAGTTCTCCGGTCAGTCGGCTGGAGACTTGAACCGGTTGGCTTCTCTCACCCAAACACCTCAGAAGAACCCCGGTTCTGCCGCGGCTCTTCGGCCGACGCCCCTCGGTTCAGTCGGCCGAGAGGCAATTCCGACGTTTGCCTGGTGTGACGGCTCGTGTCGAACACTGGCCGGGAATCATTGGCCTGTCAAAAAGTCAAAAGGTACGGTATTAGTAACAAAATCCGCACTAGCTTGACTCACCATCCGGCCGCATCGCATGACATGCAGTGTGCAGCACGGTGCACATTGAGCGATGGCCGGATTCCGGAATGGCCAGTCAAAATGTCAAAACGAAATGAGCTACCTACAGCGGGTGTTACCGGGGTGACGGTCAGCGCCGTTGACCTGCGTTGACGTTTCTTGCTACAGCCGGAACGGGCCGGCGGACCTACAGGCTGCCATTGGCTAGCCGTACACAAAATTCGCATACCGGTAGGTAGTGACTGAATAGCGTCCTGACTCCTGACTCCTGAGTGCCTGACTCCGGTGCGGTCGTCAGTACTTTAACGGCAACCTTCAGGTTTCACCTGACAGGCTGACGCGCGTACGCCGTACGGTGTTTTAGCTCCACTCAGCACTGGTACACACTGCACAAGTTTAACAAGCAGCCCCCAAGCAGCGGAGTGTGGAGCAGGGTTTCCCAGTGCGGAGGTTCCGGAATCCGGATACCTCTAGAGGTACGGTATACCGGTATAGGTACCTAGTACCGGTATACCGGTATACCGTACAGGCGTACGTTCTGGAAGTACGCTCAGCAGTACGTCAGTACCTAGTGGTAGCAACTTTGAACCTGTACGCAGCTACACGCAATAGGGTGTGTACTAATATGCACTTAGCTGGTACCAAGCTGTTCGGATTCTTGACATCATCGACATCTCATCAACACGGCGCATCTCAGACTGGCGAATAGTACAACCTTTGATGTCTGCATGGTCAAATACGGTACCGAGGAAAGCATACTAAACACCACCACAGCTGATATCCAGGTGCTCAGCAAATTGGCATGTACCTATCAGAAGCACGGTGGCCAATCTTGCCAAATTATCACCGCATACTACTGTCGGCGCCCCATTCTCGTCATTCTATTACCGTGCTAGTATTGGTCCTTGAACGCCAACTCTGCATCATCTCTCCTGCCCATCCCTGTCACCGTGCAGTCTCTTTCTTCTCAGTGCCAGCAAGCTCAGCTCAGAGCCTCTCAACTCGTCTCCTTCAACCGTGCGCGGCTTCAATTGCACGTCCGTGCCGCAACTAGACAGAAGTGTTCGGCAGTCATGAAGTCAGAACAGGCTCAGTACAGTGTGCCTTCCCCGGCCGCCACAGACGGCGCGCTCTCAAGCATTGTGACAAGATTTGCGGTGCACGTGTCGGCCCTCGCTGCATTCACGCTGGTCATGGTGTGGACGTTGCACTTCCGGGGGGGCGCCTCGTGGAGCCAGGGGGACGACGTCGAAAAGGTTTTCAACGTGAGTTAGGGGGGAGCTGACTTGGGGCCTTGTGATAACTCAGTAGATGCCTACATAATACATATGTATGATGCAGATTTTCTGCGGAGGGGATGTTGATTACAAGAGAGGTCCATTATGAATTGTGACGATGCGGAAGGAGTTTGAAAACGGGTCGGACGTTTTAGGATTGATCATCAGCCTTGCATCTGGTTCATCTCAGAGACACCGGTGCGCTTGCATATCTGGCACAAGATGTGATACAGCGGCACCTGGTTCCAATTGGATCTGAGCCTTGGGCTCAGTGACCTGTGTCGCTTATGATTGTCACTGCACACATAACTGATTGGCAGCACATTGTTTCATATTATGGTCTGCATCCAGAGGCTTTGCTTGCCGTAATACTAGCTGAAGTTACCAAACACATGACTTGGAGGAATGGGGGCCGATCTCTTAGAGTGATTTGAGTCTCCAATGTCAATATAAATCCACCTCGGACTAACCGGCATGCCACTGCCAGCAGGCAAACACAATTACATTCAGCTAAGCACAAGGTGATTAGAGATCCACACAGCCCAAACTTTTGCCTCTAGGCTAGCTGCATAATGATACACCTATTCACGCCAGGGATCTATGGTTTCGCATCAGAAGGGGACCAACGAAAAAAGACCGCAAGTGGATTAGAAGAGTTTTCTGCTTGGTCTTTTGTGCCAACTAGCTCAAGTTCAAAAAGAGCCACACTCAGAGCTGGTGGTCAGACGGGTGTGCATTATGCATAAGAGCATGTTCTTTAGAAACCGTCAGGAAAATGGGAGATGATCAGCAGATGATCAGCTTTATGTTTATAATGACATGATTGCATATCGTTAGTGAAACGAGTTTGTAAGCAGCCTGACTACTAGCGTCACTTGAGCTCAAATCCACTACTTAGCTTGCATTTCTCTTCCTTTTGCTGTGCTATTTCCCGCTGTTTGGCTGAAAATTGGCCTCTGCCAGGGTCAATTATTCCTCTTTCTACTACCTGGCGAACATCAGCTTATCTGCGACCCCTCTTCTCTGTCGCAGCTGCACCCCATCCTGATGGTCACCGCTTTTGTCGTCCTGGCTAGCAAAGGTACGTCGAAAAGTCTCAGGTTCACCTTTGGCCCTCTGGAACCTTTGGCCCTCTGTAACTGTTTCTGCGCGGTTTGCATCGTCCATGTAATATTCGCGGGCGTTCCGGGAAGCTTTAGAAAAGTAAGCACATCAGGACACTACTCAGTGACCTGCTCATCTAAACCATGTAATGGGCTCACTTTAAAGCGCAGCTTCAAGCCAGTAAATTGTCCTCAGATGCTCAGTAAGTCTTTTGAGAGAGTATAGTAGAGTTCCACTTAGTGCATTTGTGGGCTTGTGCTTTTCCATCTGGACGAAATTTCCCCCCAAGCTCATTCAACACCTTCTATTCCGGTTTGACGGAGGTTTGACCCGGAGTACTAGTCTGCCACGGGTTCGATCTTCCCTAATCGCATCTCTTCTCATTTGATTCAATAATGCATAAGGGTTCCCGACTCTCTTACCCTTCCCAATGGACTGCATTCTCCCACTACTCACACAAAAGTAACACTACACACTGTCATCCCTGTGTGCCCCCCGGCGCAGGCGCGGTCGCCTTCAAGGTCATCCCCGGGCCTCGGGCGGTGGTGAAACTGATCCACTCGGGCATCCAGTTCGCGGCCATCCTCATCGGTGCGGTCGGCATTGCGGCAGTATTCCGGTACGGCGGCCTGAACGACCCCCCGGCTCCCAAGGTGTACAGCCTCCACTCCTGGATGGGCATCGTCACATACGGCCTCGTCCTCGCGCAGGTAGCGACCCGCAACTCTCACTTTCGTAGCAGCCCCACTGGCGCTGAGGTATTTCGCACGTGCGGATGTGCTCGTATTCATAAGCAAACCATTTTCCGCTGGCCATTCCAAAACACAACGAATCACGCTTTCTTTCAGCCAGGGTTTGAGCTAGGAACAAAGCTTCAGGCACGGGTACCGACTTTGTATTGGTATTTTCACCTACGCAAAGAGCCTCGAACGAAATGGCCCGCCCAGTCCGAGTTTGGAAAGTCTGCGGGCAATCCGACGTACACCTCAGAGGGGCACAAGTGATGAATGAAAGATCCACACGCGACCTGATAGTTTGTACACGTGGCAAACGGTCAGGCGGTCGACCTCCAGAATGTTTGAAGGTCGGCAGTTCCGTGACGCGCGACTGGCGTGACCCACATCAAAAACTTGCATGGCTGCTCTGTTTTTCGCTCTCCTGAAGGTCAAGCGTATCGAAAGGGTCTGAGATTTGAGCAGCTGGTTTTCAGACGATTCGGCTGCCATTCGAGATGGTTCAAAGCAGACATGGAACAAGGTTGACTGCCAGATCGACCAAAACAAACCTTCGAATGTACTGATTCACAATGTCCCGACCCGCCCCCCGCTTGGCTGCCGCCTCTCATTGGCCGCTCTCGCTCTCTTTTTGGAGTCGAATGCCCCCCGAATCATCACCGGGGACGACACTCCAGTACCCCTCTTTCATCATCAGCCGTTCGTGGGGCCCGGTCGCCTCGCCCTCCTCAGCTTCGACCAAACGCGCGGGTCTAACATCCCGGGCTTAGGCTCCGCATGTTTCTTCAATTGAGGTATTGTCTGCTCTAGGTATAGTAAGTCCCTAGCCAATCACTAAGAACCTAACCCTCAAAAGCCCCGCTCCGCACCCGTACCTTCCCTACCCCCAAACTAAGTTCACCCGTCTTAGGCTGCTTGGCTTACTTTACCTAAGCTGAAGTCTTATTCACTCCGCTCCGCCCCCCGTGCAGTGGCTCGGCGGCCTCCTCGCGTTCGTGCTCCCGACCGCGGCCCCCCCCGCCCGGCGGAGCGTCGTGCCCTACCACGCGTTCGTGGGGACGTTCCTGTACGTCCTCGGGCTGGCGACCGCGTCGCTCGGGATATTGGAGAAGGTCACGTTCCTGCAGGACTACGGGACGTTTGGATACCATGCCAAGGAGCTGTACGTGGCGAACTGCCTGGGCCTCACGATCTGTGTGACGGGCGCGACCGTCCTTGTTGACGCTGCTCGAGCCGTGGAAGGAGGTGCGCGCGCCCGAGAGCGGATACGCCGTGTCAGCTTAAGGGGAGAAGCGCGGGCGGAAGACGAAGTTCAGCGCGGAATCGGCATTGACTGGAAAGCAGTGTTACGCGCCCCAGTCCTGATTGAAAGATCGTCACTCAGTCACAGGTTGCTTTTATACGTGGCCCAATCATAATATTCCGAGTTTGTAGAGTTCGATGCAAATCTACGATACGAGGGTGCAGCGGTGATACGAGAGTGAGTTGTTGGGATATGGTGTAGGGGCGAGCTGTCATTGGTGATATGAGGCCACAACAGTTGAGGGAAAGACGGTGATCCGGTAGTGATAAGAGCAGGTCGAATCGTGGGCAGTGTAAGGGTTGAGCTGGCGTGGAATGATTGGATTCTTTTATTTGCATTTGTAAACATCACCCAGATTTAATTTGCATAGGTCTGAAAGGAAGCTAGGCAAAAGCTGTTCAGTGGACGTCATATGCGATTTTCGGTCCGTACGTGTATGGCGTGAATGTTCGTTCATCAAAAGACCCACCGAAGACAACCCTCAGCAGATAGAGCATGTTGTTGG